CACAGCTGGAATCATGCTACTAGCACCCGCAGTACACTCTGGGTCTGGCACACTTTCTATGCACAAGGTTCTATCTCCCACCTTTCCGACCTGGTTGCTGTCTCTTCTGGCTTGTTTCCGTGGAAGCACAGCCTCCATAACCTGATAGCAGTTTCCAATGAAAGAAAACAAATTAAATGAAATTAATCCTTGTTAAAATGAATAGGAGAAATAGTTCAGTAAAACAACAGTGTCATTTTTAAACTACCACAGTTGTGCTTATATAGTGAAAAACATATTGAAAGGCAGAAGAAACAAAATCAGGGGCAGAAACCTTACGGCTAATAATATTGTTGCTTCTGAGCTTCATGGCACACACATGAATGTCACGATCAGTAAAGCTTATGCTGATTGAAAAAGAACTGCACCTTGCATATTAGTGAGTGACCAGATTAATGTCAACAAGAAAGTGTTAACCGATTTCAACCCTGCCCCGTCATTAGCCTATCAAGATGTACAAATATTAAAGTAGGCTAATAAAATTGAATTTTGGGCAGTCGCCAGCATGGACAGTGCGAATAGTTGTCATTCGTGAAGTACGTGTGTACAGGTACAACTACAAGGCATGATGTACATGTACATGTATCCGTGTACACGTACGTGTAAGATTTGTAACTCTATAGTGTAAGCCCACGATGTCGTTCATTATACATGTACACGCACGCACCCACCCGGTAGCCACGTGTACGCACCCACCCCACGTACACGCACATATACTGTACATGAAGTGTACTTTGCATAACGAAACGTGTACAAACGATTACACGCACCATGCGATTATGAAACTAACGTGAATGCATGGCGAGTGAGAAACGATAAAACTTACTCAGAGTCGCTCGCGTTTTGCCAAAGCACCCTTCCTCTTCTCTTCCAGTACCGGCTCGCTTTTCTTGCTTGTTAGAAATATTGCGGGTACAGCATCAAGACGAAGCATATGCCTTGAACTTAATCTCAAACTGATGTTATTGATTGTTGGCGTTTCGATCAAAACAAGAAGGCTCGAAGTGTGCGGAGCAGATCAGTGAGTGCTCGTTTGGTCCGACCACTTGGCTCGGGTCAGCTTCACTTTCGCTGTCCAAATTTGTCGAAATTTTGGGTCAGATGGAAAACGATGCAGAGTAAAATCATCTTTGGTAGTGTTGCTGCAACCAGCAACAACACAGGTCGGTTGCATTCTGAAAAAAA